ATTTCCTTCTATACACATAGACATACCTAATATTATATGGATGTGTAAAAATTAACATTCAATGTGACCACTACTATTTGTACCCTAGCAGTAATGTGAACATTCAAATCTGTTCACATTACTATGTTTGTCACCTAAATAGCACTTTTTTGCTTTTGATTATATGAATATCGTTGAATGTGAACATCCACACTGACGAATGATGTGTTGATGTCAATGTGCATGCCTACCCCACCAATTCTATTGAAATCAAATTTAAGGTTCATATAAACACTCATTAATTGTGCATGCCCATGTAAACAGATGTTGCATCTAAAATTTGCCCAAAGAGGAAGGAGTATCATGTCAAATAAGAGAGCATACCTCTAGGGAGCAACACCCACATCGACATGCGGCATGTCAATTATCGATCAAACATTATAGGCTTAGTAAAACTGATGAGAAGCGCTTCAGCTTGACTACTTAAGTCAAACTCTGTTGTTCGATGGTTGGGGTTGTCCACCATACACTAGCTATACCAAAATACAATACTAGTTTTTTTTTTTTTTTTAACTTTGATAACTTATAGTTGAAAACACTTGACAACATATATATAAATCAATGATAAACTTCTCACACACCTATGTGTTTTGATGGTATATTTGGTATTGATATGTTGCGCGTGCTAAACAATATAAACTGTGAAAATTCACATCTGTTTTCTTTTGTTGAAGTTTGTGTGAATGTTCACATCTTAATTTATGTTCAATAAATGTGAATGCTCAAATTATGTCCTATGTTTACTGTGGTTGACTACAGATGTTAATATTCATATTATACATTAATCAGGTATATGATCATATTAGAATTAACGTGAATCTTCATATCTATTTATTGCATTGTGAATATTCACATCATACTGTGGTTGACTATAGATGTTAATATTCACATTATACTTTAATTAGGTGTACAACCCATGAACAAACATTTCAGAATTAATGTGAATCTTCACATTTATTTATTGCATTGTGAATATTCACATCATGTTTGTGTCTGTCACGATCCAACCCCAGGGGCTTAGGGTTGGAATCGCAACTTACTAATTTATTCCAATTGTGGCAAATTAAATGGCACAAGCGAAGGCAAATGGAAATAAAAATAATTAAACGGAAAATTTATTTCATTTTATTATTTTAATAAGAGAAAATACATCTATGGGCTTTTATTATTTTATTATTCAGTGATCGGCCCTGAATAGAAACAAAAGAAAACAAAAAATTAAAAAAAAAAAGAAAAAAAAGAAAAGAAAAACAAAATAATTGTTCAACATCAAATTCTCGTGCGGGTTCCACTATGTGAGGTTATGGGTCTCCCTTACATCTCGTCACCTGAAAGGGTAACAGTTATAAGCACACAGCAGAGTGAAAAATATTATGCCAAGAGTATAGGGAACACAAAATAACCATGGATAGTTAGTTAAGCTAAAAAATTTGCATAACTTAATTTGAAATAACAATTTATTCAAAGTGGCAGAAACTGAAATACAAAAATCATGTTAATGAATAACCATAACCATGGTACAGAACAGAACAGAACATAACAGAAGTCACTGAAGTGACAATTAGAACAGAGGTCAATGGATCCATGATAAACAGAGGACCACAAAGTGGCCAAACAGAGGCCAATGGTTATTTAAATCCCCCAAGGCATAGAACTCATGTAGTGGTACTTACAAAACATAATTGTTTATAAGGTCATTGTCAAATACTTTCTAAAACTTAAACAAACATATCCATGGGTTTCATTTTAAACAAGTAGAGTTCAGAAAATAACCCACGTAATTGAAATATTAGTATAATTTATAAAACATAACTTGTATAAAATAAATTATGGTAAATCAAATCATACGTAAAATATATTATGGTTGCTCAAGGTATAATATAACTCACCTTAATATTGACTCTTAGCCTTTACTCTCCACTATTACAACCCTTCTTACTCTAAGTTTCCTACCTCCAATATCTTGCATGCTTTTTTCTTTTTTCTTCCTCTTATGTTTCACACTTCTCTTGCACAACTCTTCCCTATTTATAGGGAGGCAAATGCGCCCTCAAGCTAACACGTGGCCACAGCTTAAATCCCCTAGATTTGATCATAAATCTCATAGATTGATGCTTATCTAATGAATATTTATGGTAATTATACTTTGGCCCAGTTCTTTAACATAATTATATAAACCAACTAATCTCTAATTAAATTACACTTTATCGCATACCAATAGAAAATTAATTATTTATTTTACTATCACACCCACTATTATTAGTAGTATTATTATTATCATAATTGGTTGTGGTATTAATTAAATATTTAGGGTGTTACATTTGCATAAGGATCCTCTAGAGTAAATCCCTGCAGTGATCTCCTAAAGTATTTAATCCAACGGCTGAAAATAAAACTCACCAAAACGACGTCGTTTTGGTGAGTAGTTTGAAAAAAAAAAAAATCAGTTAGTTCAAAACATCAAAGGTTCCTACAAATGCAAATATGAAGCATTAGAGAGAGAGAGAGAGAGAGAAGGGCTGAGAGTTTCCCACCCCCGATGCGCCACCGTCACCGCTGTCGCTGCCACACCGCTGGGTTACCATACTCCATCAGATTGAAGGAAAAAATCGCAGGTTCATTCATCCTCCAAACTTCAAATACTAGGGCTTTGATTCCAAAAATTAGGGGAAAAATCAAAAAATATGTTTTAAGGGTTTTGATTTGGGACTTTTTACATGATTTGTTTCAAATCTATGCTTAGAGGAGCCGAACTGTAGATGATTGGAATCATCAAAGAAATTTATGAATTTTAAATGTGTTGTGTTCTACAATCATACAGGCATGATAGTGTGGTCTGCTGAATTGTAGATGCTTTGTGAAAATTAAATACTCTACATATGCAATGGGTTATGTTATGACCCTACTATAAAAGATGGAGGTGCAGAGCACACTGCCATTGGGTTTTAAAAGTGAAAGTCTCAATAGCAATTGAAACGTGAACAAGAAAAATGAAAACCAGAATTTAGTGATTTCACTCCAAGCTATCCTAGATATACTATGTATAAAATCTTTTTTTTTTCCCTTTTTACAGTAACAAATAATTAACAGAATAATGTCATATGTTTGTTGATGATTGAAATCAATTAGAGCAATAATTTTGTAACTTTGAACAGATCAAGAACTTTACAAAAATCAAAACATCTAAATTAATAGCATAATAGAATAAATGAGATCCTATTGAAAAATGTAGATTGATTGGATTACCATTTAAATAAGAGATTTCACTAAAGCTAAAATAGAGAGATCAAATCTTCTTACGATCAGAAACCAAATTATGCGAACAACCTCTACAACAAAACAGAAACAAATGGACTGAAATGAAAAAATAAGAGGGGAAAAATGAGAGAAAAAATAAAATGTATTGGAATTGTTACACCTTATTTCTAGGAAATATTGGGGTAATTTTCTCGTAAATTATGAGTTAGTTTTTAAAAAAAAGGAAGTATAAGATTTGGGATGAACTAAATGTAGATATTGGTGTTCCATTGTTGTTTTTTTGTTGTTCCATTGTTCTTGTCTAGATATTAACATGGGTGAAGAAGGCTAATTTGATCTCACCTTTATAATATGTTATTATTTCAAGTTAAAAAATGTCAACATCCAATGCATCTATGAGTGATACTAGTGAAATTCAGTTTAGAAATCGAAAATGTCATTGCGGGGTAAGAGCAGCATTTAGGATTTCTGAGTCAAAGGAAAATCCAAGGATGATATACTTTGCTTGCCTTTTCAACAACACCAATGGATGCAGCTTCTTTGAGTGGTGGATGCCTTTACAAAAGCAACGTGAATGGTTGAAGATAATAAGGGAGGAAAGTGACGAAAATTGTAATATCAAGCCTTTGCTCAATGAACTAATTGTATCTAATGATGAGCTAAAAGAGATGGTTATAGAGTTTAGGAAGGAAAATAAACAAATGGTTGTAGAGATTAGACAACTTCGGGAAAAGTTGCACTACGCTATTGTAATAGTATTAATAGGATTTGGACTTTTTCTTTTCTTGTTTAAATATTAAGTGTGAATTAAGTTTAGATTTGGACTTCTTTTGTCAACTAAATATGAAGTGTAAAATTGTGGACTTGAAATGCACAATGTGGTAATGTTGATTATGTAATGTTGTTGTAATGTTAAGTGTAATGTTGATTGTTGTAATGTTGTTATAATGTTAAGTGTATTGTTGACTTGAAGTATAAGGTTATGTGACGTTGTTATAATGTTGATTGTGTAAATATTAAGTGTAATGTTGATTGTGGACTAAATATTAAGTATTAATGTTGATTGTTATAATGTTGGTTGAAATGCACAATGTTGATTGTGTAATGCACAATGTTGTAATGTTGATTGTTGTAATGCACAAGACTTGGATTTGGACTTCTTTTGTTTGGGTTACTCGATGCATTGCTTTGAAAGAATGGTTGCAATGTTTGTGAACAGGTCAAGCCTTACTTTGTATCAAGCCTTTGCTTTGTTTGTCAACAGGTCATGCCTTTGCTTTGTTTGTCAACAAAGAATGGTTGCTTTGTTGTCAATCAACACAATTTCCGCAGGTGTAGGTTAACCAAATTTCAACACACTATTTGAGCAACATGTCAACAAAATTCTAGCACCATTTGAGCAACATTTCAGAGCAACATGTCAACAAAATTTCCAACAACATTTGAACCCAAATTTCAGCAACATTTCAAGCAAAGTTTCAACAAATTTTGAGCAACAGTTTCAGCAACATTTGAAAAAAAAATTCATCAAATTTTCAGCAACATTTCATCAAATTTTCATCATTATTTCAGCAACATTTCAAGCAAAGTTTCAGCAAATTTTGAGCAACAGTTTCAGCAACATTTGAACAAAAATTCAGTAACATTTCATCAAATGTTCAGCAACATTTCAGCATTATTTTGGCAACATTTGAACCCAAATTTCAGCAACATTTCAAGCAAAGTTTCAGCAAATTTTGAGCAATAGTTTCAGCAACATCTGAACAAAAAATTCAAAAAAAATTCAATAACATTTCATGAAAGGTTTTCAATATTACGTATCCAACAAAAAAAAAAAATCAACGTTAAGATATTGACATGTGATCCACATGCCCATGCCCACGGCCACGCCCACAACCATGCAGTATCTAAAAAAAAAGAAAATAATATTACATCAAAGGAACCATAAAATAAAATGGAACTTTAAATGAATGAATGACAAAATAAAAGAAGAAAGGTGAAAAATCAATTATTTCACTACATGCGGGACTATTTGAGGCTTGCGAGCCATAACCGCTTGCATTGTTAAGCAATGCTTGATAGGTTCCATGGACAGAATACATCGATGACATTGAAAAAGGCATATTGTGAGGAAGAAAACTTGGCTGCAACAATAACAAACACATATCAATTTAAAATGATAATAGTCACCTACAAATAAATAATAAAACTTCTTATTAAACTAACTTACATTATAGGCGGGATACATAAATTGAGACGAAGAAGCTCTAACTTGAGGAACACTCGGTGAGAATGGAGGAAGTTGAGGAACACTTGAAAATAAAGGAGCCGATTGAGGAATACTTGGCGAAAACAAGGGAGGTGGTTCAGGAGCACCTGCCGAAAATAAGGGAGGACTTTGAGAGTAACAGACATGGAAGTTTGAGAAGTATTATGTGAACTTGTTTTATTTTTCTTTGCCAACGCAAGCTCCAAACCACATTTTGTCCGCCTTCGTCCCTTGCTAGTGCACTCTCTTCTCTTGAGTCCTTTTGCTTGAACTACTTTTTTATCCGCTACACCATCCACTTCAAAGCTTTCGGCGCATGTGTCGGGGGGGCTTTCTTGTTAAATAGTATCTGAAAAAGGCATATTGAATTTTGCGCTTAACATGCTTTCAATGTTTGTAGTTAATTCATCCGTTTTCTCTACCGTCAAATTATATGTTTCCTTACTTTCAGAAACTCTACACGCTACTACTCTGAATATTGCCATCAATGATCTATAGCATGAAGTTTGATGCAATCTTACATCAACCTTAATATCATGCCCATACCTATCTTTCACATTTTCAGCTCTTGCTTTTTTAGTCCATCTCTTCAGAATATATTGTGAAGGAATCTCTTTGAATTTGAGGGTGTCTCTAAGGATCTTCAAACAATGACTACACAAAATGCCCTTCATTTCAAACTTCCTACAATTGCAAGTGGCTGAACCATCACACTCCATTCTCACCTTCCTCACCTTTATACCATCACTATCAAGAACCGTATAAACAGTACTCTCACTATCATTTTCAGTTTCTTCTATGTTTACTTCACGGGACTTGACGTACTCATCCTAAAATTCTTCATAAATTTTATTTGTGTAAACATCTGCAGCTTGCTCCATAATCTTCACTTTAATATTCACCCTTGGCAACTTTTGGCATAGAGCATATTCGGCTTGTAACTCTTTGTACCTCTTCTCACAAACAACTCGATCAAAATGCATGAAAAATTGCATTAAGTTATGATCAGACTGAATGAAATCCTTCAAGAAAGCATTAAAGGATTCACTAAGTTGGGTGCTACTCATGCCCTCACCCCATACATTTCTAACATATGGCCAACCCCATTTTTCCTTGACCCCAAATGTTAACTTCAACTAATGATTATCTCTTACTTTATACTTGTCAAGCATTTCCTCCCATTTTAACGTAAACTCTTCCTCGTCCTCAATGTTGTACATAAATGTGGATAAAACACTCTTCATCCCCTTATCCTTCACCGCCTTATCCTTGAAGATAGAATTTGCATGCCTTAATGCATTTTGCATCAAATTCCAAGTGCAAAGGCAGTGGTTTGTGTTAGGCATGACAATAGGTATGGCCTTAGCCATTGCAGCATCCTGATCCATAAAAATTATTTTTGGAGCCTTACTTGACATTGCCTCCAAGAATCTTCTAAAAAGCCATATAAAAGAATTGGCGGTCTCACCATATATCAAAGTTGCACCAAATATCACAGTTTCCCTATGATGGTTAAATCCAACAAAAGACGCAAATGGTTTATGTGCACTATTTAACTTGTAAGTAGTGTCAAAAGTCACAACATCACCAAATTGCCCATAATCCATGATCATCTGAGCATCGGCCCAAAATATGTTTGTAAAGTGTTCCTCATTATCTAATTGGACCAAGTAAAAAAAAGATGGATTTTCCAATGATTTGTCACGAAAATATTGCAAAATGCTACTTGCCTCCCCATATACTAAACTGTTTTGCCTCTTCGTTCTCAAATAATTTTTTTGGTCCAGTTTTGTGAACCCAGGCAACTCCCTTCCACCAACTTCACTACCCATGAGCTCAAATGCAGCATTAAGATAGATTCCAGATTTTTCGGCTAAATCTATTTCGGTTGCCTGTGATGCAGATATCTTCCTTTGGGATGGTAACATATGCGCACATTCTGCTGGTACAAAGATAAGATTATGTTGTTCAACAAAATCACCAACAAAATTTTTTTCAATATTCCTATCCCACTTAATGACTAGTCGGGCTTGACAACCAGTCCTCACTTCCTGTCTAGGATTTTTTGTTAATGGATCTCGTTTGTCGACAACCCTAAATCCCTCCTTATTACAAACAAATTGCCTTGAAGTGATTTGCCCCTCTTTGCTCTTGTTTACATAACTCCTTCTAATACTAAAGCACAACCTTCCTCCATAAGCATTATAGAAATCATATGCTTCTTGTTCTATATCAAATGTCATGCGAACTCTAGGCTTCCAATCACAATCACCCTCCTCATTCTCAACATTGTTAAGTTCCATATCAATGTGCCAAGTCACTTAAAAAATAAATAAGTACTTAATATTAGCATAAAATTGTATATTATGTTTGCAAAATAATACAAACTGAATAAGATAATCAAGGAATAATAGAAATTAGATAATCAAGACAAACAAAAAAAATAGAAATTAACAAGAACCAAATGCCAAGTGCAATAATAAAAAAAACCTGTTCTAAACATATGTAATAATAATAAAAAATAAGATAATCAAGGCATGCCAAGTGCAATAATAATAAAAAAAAAACCTGTTCTAAACATATGTAGACTGAAATTTTGAATTTAACAACTTAATAGACCCATACAAAAAAACCAAAAAAAAAAAAAAAAAAAGATTATTTTTCATTTCATCTAGGAAACACCTAAACTATCTATAAATCTATATAATATATATATAATCACATTGAATACTTGTTCTAAACAAAAAAAACTGTTCAGAACTTGTGTAATAATCAAATTCTCCATGTACATACCACAGGTTGTTCTAAACTACTGTGTATATATATAATATATAATGTATATATATATTATCACAAGGATTGTTTTATAATCAAATTCTTTATGTAATAATCAAATTCTCACTGTATAATGTATATATATATATATAATCATAGGGATTGTTCTAACATGTTTTAAATACCTATATTTTTCTTCAATCGGCTGGAGTAGGGGATCGGCGGTGGCAAGATAGTGGCGATGACAGGACGGCGGCGACAGCGGGGCGACAGGATACAAGAAGTATCGGCCTCTCTATCTCTTCTTCGCTCTCTCGTTCTTTGTTTTCTTCTTCCCGTGTCTGGTATAGTTGAGCCATATAGAGGGAATTTTGAACTGATTAAAAAAAATAAATAAATAAATTCAAACTACTCACCAAAACGACGTCATTTTGGTGAGTTTTATTTTCAACCGTTGGATTAAATACTTTAGGAGATCACTGTAGGGATTTACTCTAGAGAATCCTTATGCGTCACATTTCTCCCCTCCTAAATAGAAGTTTGTCCCCAAACTTGACGTACCTTAATTTTCAAAAAGGTGTGGGTATTTGGCTCGCATTTGACTTTCTGTTTCCCACGTAGCTTATTTGATATGATGATTTCGCCATAAGACTTTTACCAATGGTATGGTTTTGTTTTGAAGAACTTGATCACAATGATCGAGAATCTGCACTAGTTGCTCTTCATAAGAGAGGTCCTCTTGGACTTCCAAGTTCTCATAGTCGACAACATGCTATGGATCTCAGAGGTATCATCGGAGCATCGAAACGTGAAACACATTGTGAACGTTGGACAGTTTAGGAGGTAGTACAAGGCGATATGCTACAGGACCAATCATTTCCAGTATCTCGAATAGCCTAATATAGCGTGGGTTTAATTTTCCTTGCTTTCCAAATCGGATAACTTGTTGGTGAGATCTTAAGAAATACATGATCTCCTATTTAAAATTTCAAATCCCGTCTCCGTGTATCTGCATAGCTTTTTTGGCGGCTCTGATCAGTGCGAATTCGTTGTTGGATGAGTTGAATTTTCTCACTTGTGACTTGCATGATCTCAGGGCCTAACAGCTTCCTATCCCCGATTTTCATCCAACATAGAGGTGATCGACATCTCCTTCCATACAGAGCTTCATACGGTGCCATTCCAATGCTTGCCTGATAGCTGTTGTTATAAGCGAATTCCACTAAATGTAAGTGCTCATCCCAGTTACCTTTGAGGTCCAACACGCATATACGTAACATGTCTTCCAACATCTGGATTGTTCTTTCGGATTGCCCATCAGTTTGTGGGTGATAAACAGTGCTAAACTTCAGTGTAGTCCCCAAAGCCTCCTACAATTTGTTCCAGAAGTGAGACACGAAGCGGGGGTCTTGGTCAGACACAATTAAAACTGGGTTGCTATGCAAACGAATAATTTTCTTGATGTATAAGGTAGCAAACTTATTAAGGGAGTATATAATTTTGATTGGCAGAAAATGCGTCGACTTCGTTAATCGGTCTACTATAACCCATATTGCATCATTCTTCGAAAATGACTGTGGTAGCCCGACTATGAAGTCCATAGTGATGTGTTCCCATTTCCATTTAGGAATAGGGAGTGGTTGCAATAATCCTACAGGTCTCTGATGTTCTATTTTAACACGCTGACAATGTAGACATTTGGAGACATGGCTTGCTATATCTCTTTTCATTTTTGTCCTCCAGTAGTGTTCCTTCAGATCCTAGTACATCATTGTGTTGCCAGGGTGGACCGCAAATCTTGAGCTATGAGCTTCCACCGATATCTTCTTCTTGAGTTCCGGAATGTCGGGTATGCAAATTCGATTCCGAAATTTTAGTATCCCATTGCTTATAGTAAAATCAAGATCAGGCGTACTCCTTTGCTCCTCATACTTTTTCTTCAAAAGTTTATCTTCCCATTGGCACGCTTTAATTTCTTTAATCAATGTAGGTTCCATAGTTATGTTGGCGAACAGTCCATTGATCATGCGGTAAATGAGAGTACATACCAACTTTTGGTCGTCTTTCAACTCAATGCGTTTGCCACCACATTAGCTTTGCCTAGATGGTGATGGATCTCTACATCGTAGTCTTTCATAAATTCTAGCCATCGTCGTTGTCTCATATTCAGTTCCTTCTGTGTGAACAGATATTTAAGACTCTTGTAATTAGTGTAAATTTCACAGGTTGCACCGTAGAGATAATGATGCCAGATTTTGAGGGCAAAGATCACCGCAGCCAATTCCAGATCATATGTTAGATAGTTCCTCTCATAAATCTTTAGTTGGCGTAAGGCATAAGCAATGACTTTTCCATTTTGCATAAGAACACAACCCAAACCATTGTATGAGGCATCATTATAAATTACGAACCCATCTACTCCTGTAGGGAGTGCTAGTATAGGAGCTGACACAAGTCCGCTTTTTAATTCTTGAAAGCAACGCTCATGTTTGTCAGTCCATTCAAAGAGTGTGTTCTTCTAAGTTAGCTGTGTCAAGGGTGATGCTATCTTTGATAAATCTTGCACGAGGCGTCGATAATAACCAGCTAGACCCAAGAAACTTCGAATTTCTGACACATTAGTAGGTTGTGGCCAATCTACGATTGTTGCAACTTTTTTGGGGTCAACCGAGATGCCATCTTTGTTAATGGCGTAATCGAGAAAGTGTACACTAGTGATCCAGAATTCGCATTTCTTCAACTTGGCATAAAGTTTGTGATCACGTAGTGTTTGTAGAACCGTTTGCAAGCGTTGCTCATGGTCTTCTGGTGACTTGGAGTATATGAGGATGTCGTCAATAAAAACGACGATGAACTCATCAAGATAGGGTTTGAACACTTAGTTCATAAGGTCCATGAAGGCTGCTAGAGCATTTGTGATGCCAAAAGGCATGACAAGAAGCTCGTAGTGCCCGTAACGGGTTCTGAAGGCAGTCTTTTATATGTTTTCCGTTTTGACTTTTAGTTGGTGATAGCCCAATCGCAAGTCAATTTTTGAGAATATTTGGGCGCCTTGAAGTTAATCGGACAAGTCATCGATTCGTGGCAGAAGGTATCAATTCTTGATGGTGGCCTTGTTCAACTTCCGGTAATCGATGCATAACCTCATTGTGCCATCATTTTTCTTCACGAACAATACTAGAGCTCCCTAGGGTGAGGTACTAGGTCGAATGAAGCCTTTGTCCAGTAGTTCTTGGAGTTGAGTCTTCAGCTCTTCAATTCTGCCATTGACATACGGTAAGGGGCTTTTAATACTGGTTGGGTACCAAGTTGAGTTTCAATGGTGAATTCGATTTCCTGATCAACTAGGGTAACAGGTAGATCTTCAAGAAAAACATCTAGAAATTCTTGTACTACTGGAATTGCATCAATGGTGGGAGCCTCTTTTTGCGTATCAATCACATAACAAATATAACTGCAGTAACCCTTCCTTAGGAGTCGTTGGGCTGCCATGGAGAATATAATACAAGGAGGGTTGGAAACTCTAGTCCCATCAAAGATAAGCTTGAGTTGGTTTGGTAACCTAAGGGAGACTTTTTTAGCTTTATAATCAATGGAAGCGTGGTTGGCAGCCAGCCAATCCATACCTAAGATCACATTAAAGTTCCCAATGCGGAGGAGAATCAAGTCTACATATAAGGTTTTTCCTTTTAAGGATATAGTACATGATCTGTACGCATCAGCACTACAGACAGACTTACCAGAAGGAAAAGACACAGACAATATATATATCCTAATGGTTTGGGTGTTTATGCCAACTTAGTAGTAAAGTGTGGTGCAACAAAAGAATGAGTTAACCCAGAGTCAATGAGAACGTGAGCTAAATGACCATAGACAAAAAGTATACCTGACACAATGTTTTCGATAACTTCTAGTTTTCCATGTACCAAGGCGAAAGCCCTTCCTTGGCATTTTTGGTCATTCATCTCTTCTCCAAGTCCTGCGGGTTTTCTGACTGGGCCAGAGGAGCTGGCTGTGAGATTGGTTAGCTTCGGATAATCCCTCAACAAGTGGCCAACTTGACCGCATTTAAAGCATGCTCCCATGTCTCAATGGCAATGTCCCTAATGAGCCTTCCCACAAGTAGGACAAATTGGAATAGTGCCACCTCAGGGGTTGGCAGGACCTTGATTGCCTGAACTGGTTGTGCATGTATTCACCTTTTTAGGAGGCGCAACACTAGGTCTTCTGTTGTCTCTTTTCCAGAATCGCTTCTTTTGGTTTGGTTCCCCGAAATGTGAGGCTTTAATCCCCTTTTCTACAATGTACATACGGTCTACCACTTCCACATAGGTTGGCAGTTTCAAAATCTCGAGCCTATCTTTAATTTCAGCATCCAATCCTGTTTCAAATTTTCTTGCTTTTCGAGCTTTGGTAGGGATGACATATGTCGCAAACTGAGTGAGTTGTGTGAACTTTCTCTCGTATTCGGCCACTGTCATGGTTCCTTGCTTTAGATATATGAATTCCGATGCCTTCTGTTCCCGCA